GAGGTATTAAACATATATTTGTGCTTTATTATATTTTACTGTGATTAAAACCTTATAAAGTTTACAAATATTAAAAAAGAAACGAGTAATTGGCTCTTTGTGGCTATAATTTCACTAGACATTTCTTTCTTCATGATCCTCCAAAGATTTTCTATTGGATTCAGATCTGGCAAATTGCCAGGCCAGTCGAGAATCTGATTGTCAGCAAGGAATTTTGTAAGAGATTTTACCGTGTGACAAGGCGCTGAGTCATACATAAATTTTATTCGGGAACGACTCCTGGACCTGGGGAAGCATTTTTGTTTGCAGTATTCTCAAGTACTGTCGTGCCGCGTTGTTTCTTCAATAATGTATAGTCTACCAGTTTCTTGAGTTCATGACGCGCAAGGGGTGCTTTACCGTCCTTAAAATATAATACGCTTTGTATTATTCCCCAGGTCTTCTCCTCTTAAATTAAGCTCTATCCATGAGGATCTGCACGGTAGATTCGTCTGAAAAACAAACCTGGAATATTATTATTATTTTGGAATTGCGGACAAATTAATCAACTGTAAACTACATACAATAAAAACAATGTTAAGTAATGTTATTTACCTGATTCCAATCAACAATGGTCCAACGCTTATGATCGTTAGCCCACTGTATATATATTGTATAATAGACAATAAAAATTAAATATATATTTTCTCGTGTTTATACTGGTTTTATTTCAAATTTTTACAAAACTCCAGCAGGCGAGGTCCTCTCCTGAGCACAAGGTGCATGAGACTGTCGTTATCGTGATATTCGTGTTCAGCGACCGCAAAAAGCTCCGAGTTATAGTACTAAATTCATTTCCGTAAATTATTTCCGATTTACAAATTTATCATTTTTCATCACATCAAAACACATTTAAAAAAATACATTTTCCATGTTCATATGATTAGAAAGCTGATAGAAGAGTATGAGGAACGGGGCTTGACAGTTAACGTAAATAAAACGAAATATCCATGTGTAGGCTCTCAGAGCGAAAATTTGGAGTTGGACAACGGTCAAGAAATTCTGCAATCTCAAGAATATGAATATTTAGGTATCACATTCGACAATACCGGAACAGAAACGAATAGTTACAGATAAAAAGATAATAGGATGTCTGAATGGCATCTTGTGGAGCAAGGAGATAACAAAAAGGAGAAAATTTAATATATACGAGACAATGGTTAAGAGCAGCCTATTGTATGGAGCGGAAACATGGAGAATTCCAGACAGACAAAAAAAGAAGGTAGAAGCAGTCGAAATGGACGCGATAAGAAGATATATGCGAGTCTCACGAAGAGAAAGAATGAGGAATGACCATATAAAACAACGAATGAAAATAGAAGGGACGATAATTCAGGATATCGAAAAGAAACAACTTACCTGGTACGGACACGTAGAGCGAATGCAAAATACTTCTTCTTCTTCAAGTGCCGTCTTCGTTCCGAAGTTTGGCTATCATCAAAGCTATGCGTATTTTTGATGCTGCAGATCTAAACAGTTGGTAATTGGTGCAATTGTACCATTCTCTCAAGTTTTTCAACCATGAATGCCTTCTTCTTCCTATAGATCTCTTTCCCATTATCTTTCCCTGTATAATCAATTGAAGCAACTGGTATTTATCTCCCCTCATAACATGTCCCAAATATTGTAGTTTGCGCTTTTTAACAGTAAGTATCAGCTCTTTCTCTTTCCGAACTCTCCGCAAAACCTCCACATTTGTTACTTTCTCTGTCCAGGGTATTTTTAATATTCTACGATACATCCACAACTCAAATGCTTCTATCTTTTTGTTATCGATCTTTTTCAATGTCCATGTTTCCATCCCGTAGAGGATAACGTAACATCTCAAAAGGCGAATTTTAAGTTTTAGACTTAGATCTCTTCCGCAGAACACCTTTTTCAATTTAGTAAATGTGGCTCTAGCTTTCTCTATTCTGGTTCTGATTTCTTCAGAGCAGTCATTATTTTCGTTGATAACAGTTTCCAGGTAATTATATCTTCTTACACGTTCGATTCTTTGATCATGCACGGTTATGTCAGGGAAGTTTTGTGGTGATTTAGATATTAGCATTATTTTTGTTTTGCTTATGTTAAGTGATAATCCGTGTTCTTCACTGCATTCTACTATTTTGTTAATTAGTATTTGAAGATCTTCCCAAGTTTCTGCGATTAGTACCGTGTCATCGGCATATCTCAAGTTGTTTATTCGGATGCCATTTATCTTAATACCTATATTTTGATCCGAAAGTGCTGTGTTTATAATGTCTTCGGAGTATAGATTGAATAAGGTCGGTGAGAATATACAACCCTGTCTTACGCCTTTCTTGATCTCGATTTCCTCCGTTGTCTCTTGCTCTATTCGGATATTTGCTTTCTGGTTATAGTAAATCTTAGAGATAATTCTAATATCCCTTTTATCCAAGTTTTTTTCTACTAGCAGTTTCATTAAGTGGTCGTGACGAACTTTATCAAACGCTTTGTTGTAATCAATAAAGCACATATATATATCTTGGTTTATATCTAGACATCTTTGGCATATGACGTTAAGTGCAAATAGTGCTTCTCTTGTTCCAAGCCCGTTCCGAAATCCGAATTGAGTATTACTAATATCTGCATCTAGTTTTCTGTTAATTCTTGAGTGGATTACTTTGATGAATATTTTTAATGTATGCCCCATTAAGCTTATAGTGCGGTAGTCAGTGCACTGTTTTGCATTTGCCTTTTTTGGTAAGGTTACAAAAGTTGAAAGTAGCCATTCCTTTGGTATTTCTCCTCTTTTGTAGATGCAGTTAAAAAGGTCGAGTAGAATATTCACTGATTCGCCTTCCACAAGCTTAAGAAGTTCTGATGTGAGCCCGTCTGGACCCGATGATTTACCATTTTTCATTATTTTTAAAGCGTATAATAGTTCTTCTTTAGTTATTTCTGGTCCTTCGTCGCCTTGCAAGTTATCTATATTAGGTTCTTGTCTTTCATCGTCGAACAATTCTTCTACATAGTTCTTCCAGGTCCTAAGCTTTTCTTGTAGATCGGCTATTATTTCACCATTTGCGTTGCATAGGAGATTGGGATGTTTTCGTTTTTGTGTACCTGTCAGTTCCTTTATCTTTTTATGTAAGTTAAAAGTGTCATGTTTGAGATGTAGTTCTTCGATTTCCTCGCATTTTCTTGTATAAAAATTTTCCTTTGCAGTTCTTATTTCTTTTCTGATTTGTTTGTTTACTTCATTATATTTTTGGCTGCATTTTCCCTTTAACTGTCTTCGCTCTTCCATGAGACCTAAAATTTTTTCTGTTATCCATTCTCGTCCTTTTTTCTGTTTCTCTTTGGTAACCATTTTCTGGGCAGGTTTTATTATGGCGTCTTTTAAATTTAGCCACTTATCTTCTACATGCGTGTTCTCTGTCTTTGTAGAAAGCATTCGTAAGTTATCATTGATATGTTGTTTTAAATCTTCTTTAATTGTTGGATCTTGTAAGCGGCTGGTATCTATGTGATCTATTTTTGTTTTATTTGAAGGTCTTTTGAGTCTAATGTGTACCCGCGCTATCAGGGGGTTATGATCTGAAGAAACATCTGCGCCTGGATAAGCCTTAACTGATCTTATACAGTTTCTGTATCGCTCATTTATTAAAATATAATCTATCTGATTCCTAATTGTTTTTTCCCTAGTGTGTTGAGGGGACGTCCATGTGTACAGTCTTCGTTTGGGTAGCTTAAAGAATGTATTTGAAATTATCATATCACTCTCTTGACAGAACTCTAAAAGTTTGTCTCCTCTGTCGTTTCTTGCCCCTAAACCATATTCTCCCACATTTTTTCCGCTTTTTCCTTTGCCAATTTTGGAGTTGAAGTCTCCAAGGATAAGTGTAACATCTTTTGGCTTTGTAGACTTTAGAACTTGATTTATTTGTTCATAAAACTGCTCAATCTCTTCATCTGATTTATCTGCAGTAGGGGCATATACCTGTATAATATTAAGTTTTGCAGTTTTTGTATGCAGTTGTAGGAGCAGGATCCTGTCTGACACTGGCGAAAAATTAGTGACAGACTGTGTCATTCTTCTTGAAATGACAATTGCTACACCATATCTGTGATGTGGGTATTCATTTCCTGAGAAATAGATCATACCGTTGCTTGTCGAGACGTTGCCTGCACCCGACCATCTTGTACCGCTGATGCCTAGGATATCGATGTTTAATCTTTGCATCTCTTGTATAACGTTGTGAATTTTCCCAGGCTCGTACATGCTTCTGACGTTCCATGTACCAATATTTATTGTATTTTTAACACAGGGATTTCGCAGAATTACGACCTGAGAGGCCCTGTTGTCATGAAGTATACCTCTCCTGCCGGATCTTGGTATCCGGTATCCATGATCAGTACTAGAAATCATTTCGCTTCGCACAGCCATTATAATTTTACTAGAGATATCCCTTAGGATCTTTAATGCAGTGGTTTCTCCTTGCCTTCTGCATCCTTATGCCGTTGACCATTTCTTAGTTCCTCCGCCTTTGAGATCGATTTCTCAGTCTCAGGACAAAAGAGTGCCCTTCCAGTTACCAGTTCATCCGCCCGAAGCCGTTGGCCAGTAATTGATGGACTGCTTATACCGGCAATCATTCGGTGACTTGATTCTAGTCACCTAGGCAAAATACTAGATGGCCCAAAAAAATACTGAACTGGACAGCAATAGGGAATAGAAAGCGAGAAAGACCCAAACTAGAGAGACCCAATTTTCATTTCGACATCATCACTTTAGTTCACAAAACTTTCTAACGTTCTCACAAAATAAAATGCATCAGGTTTCATTGAGATCCATGGAACTGCAAAAAATTGATAGGTTTATTGCTTCATTGTCTCACCTATAAATATACTTAATATATTTTACTAAATACTGACACAGTTTTACAATTTTAAAATTCTTTTATAACCTATGAATGCTATAAAACATTTTATTATCGACTGCTTTATATTTATAGGTTAACAGCGAAACAGAAGAAGAACTAAGACAAGAATGGGACCAGGCCATTAAAAATTGTAAACTAAGTAAGGAAATTGTCGATAAACTGCTTGGGCCATCCTTGGATGCTTCTTTTGCCAAAGAGATTACCTGCATATACAAATCGCTAGAATTTATGAATCCCGATGGTACATTTAACAAGGATAAATTTCGAGTGCGTTTAAAGAATATATTAAGCGATGATGATAAGATAGAAAAAGTTATTAACATGTGTGTTGTACAGAAAGATACCGATGAAGAAAGTGGTCTATATTTGTTTAATTGTATGGGAAAACTTTTCAAACAATAACAAATATTGACTTCTGCTTTGATTGTGTATTCGATAAACGACAATTTATAATTAATTAGTAATGCTTTTAAATTATTCTGATTTTCTTTATGTTATATATTATATACTATTGTATACAATTAAAATTTTAAAATAAAAAAATATTATTTATATATTACTATGGTATGTTTTTAAACCAGGAGGAGTAATTCAAATTTTCCGCGCCATAATGCTTGTTTGTAATTGGTCGAAGCGCAGGCAAGTTTACTCCACTAAATTATGACATATTGACACTAATGACATTTGTGAAATTTTAAAATTCTAAATTTATATCGACAATTTTCTGTATTTTCTGTGTTATTTCTTACATCTTTAGATTTTTCGTTTGCATTTATATAAAAAAACAGTTCTTTTCAGAACTATTTAGCGACATATTAGTGTTATTAAGATAACAATATGGATTCAATGCCAAGTACTAGTGGTAATTATTCTTCTCCGCCTTAAAAACGCCGAGTAGATTTGGATCATTTGTCATCAAATGAGAAATAATGTACTATAAACATGTACAAACATGAAAATTGATAATTCTGGAATAAAAGTAACAGCCACGGTAGTAAAAATAAAACAGGCAGCAGGTTAGTTTTACAGAATAGTTATTATTAAAATCAAGACTTACTAAAGTAATGTGCTAATTTTAGGTATTGCGAATTCAACTATTTACAACAATAGAATTTAGAACAATTAAAGAATATAAGCAGACTGGAGCAGTAAAATGTCCTAAAAATATTGAAGGTCGACCTTATATTCTTGCAACATAGGATGAAAGAGTTAAAACATCTATACGACAGATAGTACACAGCTTCTTTTTCAAGAATGAAATGCTCACTTTAGGTAAAATTTTAAGTGAAATTGACAACCGCTCAGATCTTCCAAAATATGTGTCGTTCATTATTATATAAATTCTTGAAGTAAATCAATTTGAAGTAAGTACAAATATTGGTATGTAAATATGGGTTAGCTACAATTATATAGTAAAATTAACTAAAACATTTTATAGATTTCATTTTTATAATCAGTATATTATTGTTACTATTAAATATTAAGTTTTAAGTTTTTATTTGTATAGTCTACTGGAATGTTGTCAAGTATTTTGGTTCAACAGATATAAGAACATGCAAAGGAAAGAAAAGGAAAAAAAAGGATATTTTTACTTTACATATGCAGATTCAATGCAGTAAATATTACATAGCATAACTATAGATTGTTTATCTTACTTTAAATGATGATTGATTTATTGTGTATATTATGAATGTCTTACCATAGTTATTTTTTAGGGGAAATTATTCAAAGAATAGTTTATACATTGGGCTGCTGACCAAAAACAAAACTTTCTTGCTCAAATATCTAAAATAGATTCAGTTTTTGCTGAAAAAATAAATCAAGAAATTCAAAATGGTGTAGTTGTTCATTTGGACTTGGTGATATGCGATAATAGTATTTAATGTGATATTTTTCTAGCTGATATATATAATAAATAGAGTTTACAGTGTTTATAAATTTATAAATGTATGATATTTATATCTAATTATCATAAGGAAAACGGCAACTATCTTTTAAATTTGTGTATACTTGTTAAGAAGCATTTTCATTTTGTTTTCATCACAATAACAGAACATTAGTAATGTTGTGTTTTACTTTGATTGTATTGATACAGTTGGTTTTGTTCTTCCTGTTGTAGATCATCACAAGAAAACTACAAAATTATACTAGAATGTAACATAATAGATTGAATTAGTTGATTATGTCACAGAAATCCAGTATTTTTTAGTAAATTTTATTTATTGATAACAAATGGGACAAACTCACTGTCAAAATTAAACAAGAATCCAGTATTAAAGAAATTGCAAGTACACACTTATTTATACAAATTTATTGTTTTGCAATTTAGTGCTTCAAATAGATCCTTAAGATATTGATACATAAGTTAAATCTATCTAATGAGGTAACTGATTACCATGCATGAAATGAAAAGTAGAACCACACCTATATTTGAACCATAATTTATTCTGTGATATGAAACATGAAAAAGTCAATTCTAAAGCAGTGAATGGGAAGGAATACGTAAAACAAACTGGCTGCAGCAATTCAGGAGATTGGATTATTAAGCTTAAAAATAATGATCAAAGTCAAAGTTAATTCTTCTGGTAAGAAAAAAAACCTAGATTCAAAGATTAATCACACCAGAATAAGAATATGGTCTACGCAGTTTAAAAGAACAGTATTTCAGAAATCTTTGAACTCTCTCTAACTTTTTGATACATGCATTTGCATAGCTTTGTTGCATATAAGATCTATTTGCAAATTAAAAGACAACTTTCTGTGAAAAACCATACTTAGATCTGTAACATTATTGACTCTCTGGATCAAAATATTCTCTAAATTAAGTACCATCGACTCAAAAGATCTATAAAACTGGATCACCCGATATTTAAATATATATATATATATAGATATATATATATATATATATATATATATATATATATATATATATATATATATATATATATATATATATATTATATAAATATATATGGGACCAAATGTGAAAAACGTCCTTTTTTATTGTAATAATTGTAATATATATTGGAAGTGAATAAAAAAAAATATTAAAACATAAAGTTAGGTTAGAATTGACGTGTAAAGCTGGATTTTCATAGATCCGATATCCGATGACACGAAATACGAATTTTTTTCGTACGAATATATTTGATTGTCGTAATGTCGTATCCGAAATTTTTTGACATACATTTCATATATATGTGTTATGTGTCAGATTATTGGATGGATTCGATGGATTGATATTTATTTCAATGCACTGTCAATAAATCTTAGCTGTTTTGTTTAATATAATATATATTGTATTGAGCTACGGTCTCGTCGTTTTTTGCCTCACATAGCGTAGAAGACCCAAAAGCAACACTTTATACATTGCATTTTTATTTAATAATTAGGTATTTGTTCCATTTTAATATATTTCAAATATTAAACATAAACACTTCACAAAAATAAGGTTAAGGTTCAAGTAAAATGTCAATAATGTCAAAATTCATCCGATTTTCGTGTAAAAGTTAAAATATTTTTAACTTCCTCCGATGACTTTTAGTTTCGTACGAAAATCCCACCTGTCATTTTTCAACCAATGAAATTCGCTGAAATTTATATCGTATCATCGTACCGTCGGATATCGGACCTGTGAAAATCCACCTTAAGGTTGTCCGATATTGATTACTCGATTACCGCAAAGCCGAGATATACAACAAAAAAAGAAGATGTATTTGGTGACTTTTCTAGTAACTTTCTTGGGTGTGAATCTGTGTTTTTGGTTTACTCCTCCTGGTTAAAAAACAGGGTATAGTGATTTTGCCCGACACCACGCGACGGGGGGATCAAGTCACTTGCCATCTGTAGTCACTCCGCTAATTTTTTTCTGAATTCCTTCTACTTAAGGCTAGGACGTAAATAAGATTATATTTTAGTCTGCTGATCACCAAATAACTCACTTTTGGAGAATCATGAATTTTGCGTAAAGTTGTCTTATGGCAATTGATTTACGTACGAAACCAGCGTAATTCTAGTTTGGTAATTCATTTGTTGGAAAAGCTCGAGTTTTGTATTTTAATATTTTTACAGAGCATCAAATTCGAAGCCAATATTTTATTATCAATAAATATATATAAAATACCAGAGTATTTTTATTTCTTTGTTTCCCATTCTGTATCCTCTTAGTTTGTTAATGCCTTTGATGATTTCATCCATGATCAAAGTGAAGAGCATGGAGCTCAATGAATCTCCTTGTCTTATTCTACTTTTGCCCATCTATTCTCCATTCTGTTGTTTTGGTAGGTGTTTTCGATAGTTTTTATAATATTTAGGAAAACTTCTCTATTATAGAGAAGATGGATTACATCTTTGAGTCTTACTCTGTCAAACGCTTTCTTTAGTTCAATCAGACACAGAAATGCTGGTCTATTATACTATAGTGATTTCTCAGTTATTTGCTTTATAACGAATATTGCATCTGTACACGATCTTTTACTACGAAAACCCTGTTGTGCTAAACTTATCCTCTGATTTATTAGCACTTGTAAAATTTTAGTTGTAAGTTTTAGTTTAGTATTTAATAAGTTTATACCTCTGTAGTTTTCTGCTTGATTTTTATCTCCTTTTTTGAATAGTAGAATTATTTTACTCCTTCTCCATCCTTCAGGTATTTTATGTTTTTATTATTATTAATTAATTAATGTTGTTAATTGTTTTGTCATTACTGCTCCACAAAATTTCAATAATTCGTCTTTACTTGCTGCCTTTCTGTTCTTCAGGTTTTCAAGTATTTTTCGAACTTCCCGTATATTTATGTTCCTCGTTTGTGGTAATTTCTGTTGTTTTCGGTTCTAACGTAGTTTGTTATTCGTCTTCAGAGAGCTTTTTTAGGCAGTCAATCCACGTATCTTTTTTTAGGTGGTTTGGTTTGATTAGTGCCTTTACCTCCGCTCTTTGACCTCTTGCAGACCGTAAAAATCATGTTTGGAACATAATATGGAGACACACAGGCTATTTGTTGATCTTTAAAAAGCGCATGACAGTGTCCTATTAGCTAAGCTATGGCAGGTGCTAGAAGACAAGAATATTCCACCGATTTACATTAATGCTGTAAGGGAGTTGTACGATGATATGATGAATGTAATAAAGATTGGACAAAAAAGATAAAAGTGACCAAAGGACTTCGCCAAGGCTGCTGCAATGCACCTACACTCTTTAAGATTTATATGGAGGGGTTTTGGATATTTGGAAAAAAAAATGTGAACCTATGTGTGTTAAAATTGAAGACCATGCACTGTATAGCTTGCATTTTGCTGATGACCAAGTAATACTTGCAGAAGATCAAGATGATATCCACTACATGTTACGAAAAATAGATGAAGAATATACTAAGTGGGGCTTATTAATTAATCCATCAAAAACAGAGTACGTAGTAGTGGGAGGTGAAGGAAAGTACTTAGAACTAGGAAGCAAACAAATTCAAAATACTAATAGCTATGAATATCTCGGTGTAAACATTACAAACAATGGTCGGAATACAAAAGAAATAGCTAC